CTTACAAACACGTATGAATATCTTATGCGGTGGGAAGCCAGATGGAAATAAATTTACGTCAAATATGCAATTTATAAAATCTTATGTCGACAGGCTACGTAGCACAGTGGTCTAAGGTGGTGTTATGGAGGGGTCAGGGTCTGTGGTTCGAACCGCGACAGCGCCGTATTTTCTTATTTTCTTTGTTTGTCTTGTTTGTCGTGAATAAAAAGTGTCATAAAAGTGCTCTATCTTCCACGGGAATAAATAAAAAATTTACTTTATTTCTTCTTTATTTCTTTGTTCCCGTGGAAGAAGGGTTTTGCTGTTTTTTCTGTTTTTTCTCAGCCGAAATCAATGATTTTTTCATTTTTGGAATCCTTAGCGAATGAGGAAGAATGAGGAATCTTTTCTCTCGTGGAAGCTTTGACCAAATTTCATGAATTTTCACAAAAGACAAAAAATAAACGCTTTACATGTATTTTTCAGCAACTTCGTCAAATAATTTTATAGCTTTATCTATCTCATCTACTTCAAACGTTTCTTTACCTTTTATGGGAGCACCATACATTTTCTCAAACTTTTCGAGTAGTTCTGTTTCTGCGGCTCTCATATCATTAACGAACACAACCTTGACTCTATTGACTGTACTGTCATATCTTTGAGTTATATTATATGTTCTTCCTATCTTATATCTCTTTGTATTGAAGTCCTTCGGTTTCTGAACGATGTAAAGTAAGCCTTCACTGCAACGTTCTGAGTCGAATGAACCATAAGTTATGAAGTTATATCCAACAACTGGGTCAATCCATAGAAGAATTATTGGTATAAGACTTTTGTCAATGAGATATGCTCTTGTTCCATAGAATCTTACCGATATCATAAGCTCAGGATTTCTTGTCAAAATTTTCTGAGTAGAAGCAATTCTAACCCAGTCCTTTGCTTTCTTTCCAGATGGAGATATAATGTCTGACAAAGAATATTTGTTGTATTTCTTTGAGTATCTTACGTTTAAATCACCAATTCTAACCACTTTGGTGTCATTGTCAATCTTTCTAACTGTTTCAAACTCAATGTTTGACATTACTGTCTTACATACAAGATAAAAAAATAAATAAAAATAAAACTAACTTTTTTTATCTTTTATGAAAATTCATGAAATTTGGTCATTTTTCAGCAAAAATAATGTTTAGGTGAAGAGGTGAGATCTCACCCGTTTTCTCACCTGTTTTCTCACCTGTTTTTTCACAAGCGTTTTACATGAATTGTACGATGTATATTTGAAATCCTAAACAATTTCGTAGCTTCTATTCTTCTTTTAGTACATCGAATGTTTTAATCATGCCGAAAGTCTCTTTATATTTCTTTTTGACGTCAGACAGAAGGAAATCTTCTGCTGTTGGATAGTTTTTATTAAGAAATGTCAACATTATCCATTTTATCTTCTGCTGGCTTTTCTGCTTCTTTCTTTAAGTCTGCATAGTCGTTTCGCATTCTTTCTATCTCTTTGACTGAGTAGTTATATTTCCTCATTGCTGCTTTACATTTTGAACATTGCGGATTCATTTTTGCATTATACATTGAAATAAAACCAGCTAGAACAACTAAGGCGTCAATTGCTCTCTTCATCTCAAAAGCTGCTGGTTTTATCTGTTCATTCCATACCTTACCTCTTCTATCTTTATCTCTTATCTGCCATACACATTTTGCAACTAATGAAACAAAGTTATCGTATGCCTTAAATTCTTCGGATTTGTAAAGGTCAGAAATATTTTTATAAACCATGTCGCAATCTTTGTCCATAACTTTATGGTTGCAATGATATCCTAGAAACTCATAGTTTACCTTTCGTATGAACTTCTTTATTTCTACGAGTCAGTTGCTTTGACTTCAATTTCGTCAAATTCGGGAATGGTTAGTTTTTGTTGCTGAATTTCAGGTAGTTTAGGTAAATGGTCGATGAGGTCCTGCATGTCATAAAGATATTCTTCATTTTCTTCATCCTGTGCGGTACAGTCTAAATTACTTGTTAACAGTTCTTGCTTTATCTTCTGGATTTTTGTTTCGAAAGTATATGAAGAAGGAATGAAGTTTTTCATTTCTACTAACATTGACGTAGGATTCATAACTAACGAGTTTGGTGCTGTTGTGGACAGAGTCCTGTCGTTCGCGGCTTGAATTGCTGTTGTGTCGATTGTTGAAATCATATCTTTACATACAAAATAAAAAAATAAATAAAAATAAAACTAACTTTATTTTTTCTATCTTAAGGAAATTCATGAAAATTCACGAGAAAGCAAAAGCAATCTGAGCCGCTTAGCGGCGAGGGTGAGAAAACAGGTGAGAAAACGGGTGAGATCTCACCTCTTCACCTAAAATATATTTTTGGTGTAAATTTATGACAAAAATAAATGGTACCATTAATGATATCATGACTGTTCTCGTTCATGTCTGATTTACATCTAATGAAAAAGTTTAGAAGAATTTTCTTATTCTTTCTGGCTTATTTTTGTCTTTCCAGTACTCCCGCTCTAATGGTCCCAGATGTGTTGACTTTGACTCTCTCAAGTTCTTAGATGGTATAACATCTTCAACGCCTCCTTCATATCTTACTTTATAAGTGTCATCGTTTATGTTATAGTTAAGTATTTCAATAACCACTCCTCGCTTTGCTTCGTCAATGGTTTCAGCAAGTTTGCCATTACTACTTTCGACTAATTTATGACGAGGATAAAACGCAATAGAGTCGTCAGCAGCTTTTATAAGATATCCATTACCTTGCGTAGAGTCTACGATATAATAATTTCGACTTAACCTTAAACGTTTCTTTGTCAACGGTTTGTCGTCAAGAACTACACGAACTTTTGTACCAGGAATGAGGGTAAATTGTGTTGAATTTCTGATATTTTGTGTTTGGCTTCGTTTCTTTTGTATATACTTTTCTTCTTGTTGTTGTGTCATTGAATTTGGTGTATGTCCTGTTGTAGAATTTGTTGAGGAATTATATACTTCGAGAAAATGTTTCATTGTTTCTTCGGTAAAGTCTCGCTCTTGATTTAAATCTCTGAGCGTTCTTATGAAGCGATTAATGATACCTAAAATATTATGGTTATGGTCTTCAGTAGTGTAGTGAGTTATGTTATGCTTAATGAGAAATTCTGTGATTTCGTTGCTGAGGTATGCACTGTCTTGGTCTGATGTTAAAGTACTTGGTTATGTTCTGCTACAAACTTTTGTAAAACTCTTAACACTTCACGAGTTCCTTTATTTCTCATTATATACGCAAAAGCTTTTGCGAGTGTTAACATTTATGAAGATGAGGAATGGTTTATGTCCTCCTTTTCTGCTTTGAATGAGAGTGTCAAATTGGTATGCGTCTGGAGTGTTGGAGTAAATTGGTAAAAAGTAGTCGTAAGGGTTTATTTTTGTTTGATGTACAACATTTTTGTCAACGAACGTTTTAACTTCAGCTCTGTTAGTAAATCCCCAACTCTTTGCAGCTTCATTGAACTTCTTAAATGACCTCCATGGATGTTGTTCGAATACTTCTTTCAAGCTCATTTATGTAAAAATAAAGATTTTATTCTAGGCTCAAGCGAGTTCATTGAACGCGGGTACCATGCGAATATAGTCACAAATGGTGCATGTAATCTTTACCCGACCCTGTTGGATTTGTTGTGAAAGTGTGTGAATGATTTCCTGTGGTTCCACAGAAAATACCTGCGCTTGAATCTACTGGGTCACTTGAAATATCATATCTATGCATTCCCTGTCTATCCGAACCTGCTGCAAAGATTTGTATAACCTCTTTTTGTTATTGAATGTGAATGACTACCTGTTGTGTTTGTAGTTCCTGTATGAGTGTGCGGTGGAAGGTTTGCTTCTTTAATTTTCTTCGAACCACCTGTTTGCTTTGAAGAGTTCGCACAATAGAGGAATTTATCTACAATCTGTTCCCACGTACCAAAACCTAAAACACTTGCCGGATTTGTTGAGTTCATTGACGTATAAATAGAGCCTATAGGATATATGGTTTCAAGAATCTGGGCCTTCATTGTTAGAAGTTCATGTTTAACGTTTATAGTTTTATTGCCTTCTACAATATTTATATTGTTTGTTATTAAACCATTAGGAAAAGTAGGAGGATAAATTCTTTGTTCTTGTACAGTTGCACCGTCTCTTCCTGTTTTTGTTACTATTTCGATGCATGCCTTAATTTCTTTAATCTTGATTGTTTGAAATTCTTCATGCACGTGCTCTTTATCGGCTTTTCCATTAAGCGCAGCATTTACTTCCGACTTCTTTGCATAATTTTCATCTACATAAGTTTTGTCGGCTTTCTTATCTAACATTGCTGGTAGTTCATGTGCTTCAAAGTTTCTGGCATGACCTTCAATATTCCTGCAACTGTTATCTAAATTGTTTAGTGTATCTTTTACGCTTGTACTTGGATTCTCTAAAGGTGCACTTGAACCAAGGGTATAGTTCAATATTATGTCGTCTGCTCTAACAGTAGTGAAGGATTTATGTGTATGGTTCTTGTCGGCTTTACTGTCTAATGTAGCTTGAAGTTCATTTATATCGGAGATGTTGTGTTTATGAGATTTCAAAACTTTGTTCGTTGCTTCAAGTTCAACTTTGTCAGCTTTACTTTTAATAGCATCTTCAAACGTTATTTTTGACTTAACTCTCAAAGTAAATCTTGGTTCAACTAATACACCGTTAACATTGAAAGTAGAGGCATAAATTTCACCGGTATAACCAAATGCTTCTGGTGCTTTAGCTACATCATACTGTACAGTACAGCTTATGTCATAACCTTTAGCACGAATGTATTTATATCTTCTTTCATTAACATTTTTTGTCTTCGCTTCATCACTTCGTGTTAAATATCCATGGTAGTTCGTTATAATCTGTTCGTCTGAAGTTATATAATGAACGTGGTTCTTGACTTTATCACTCAGAGCTAAAAGCTCATTTTTGTTTGCTTTTTCGGCTAATTTCTCATTAACATCATTCACTTCTAATTCAACTCTTCCGCCAGAACTCTTATTATCATTAATCTTTTTCATTAATTCGGTAATTACGTCATAAAGACTATATTCTGTTTTCGGTTTTGTAAATAATGAGTCAAAATTTCTTTTCATCATTACATCGCTGACATTAATGATATCACCAATTCCTTTTTCATTTATTCTCTTCATTAATTCTGCAATAATGACGAATATATAATCTGTTAATTTATTCTCTTCATCGAGGGTTATAGAATGTTTTGAAATTGAATCATTAACTCCTCTAAATAAATCAATAACTTCAGGATACACGTTTTTAATGTCTCGAATAACCCGACCAGTATCCTGTTGTTCATGTTCTTCGTTCCCGTCGTTACGTGGTTTTATATCTCTAACCATCATCAACGCAGCCATAACCGGAGGGTTTGTTGCTATCTGTTCGAAAATCCGTCCGTTATGTACGGTATATCTAAATAATTTCTTTGTGTTTGTTAAAACATTTGAAACAAGTCTTTTAAAACCATCTACAAAATTTCCTGTTTCACCTAATGTTCTTGCAGCATTTACAAGCTCACCCATTCCCGCTTTTGACCCCAAAAACGTCCATATTGCATTTATTTCACTCTGTATAGTTGTCCATTCAGCGAAACTAACACCCGCATTCGCTAAGCTGAAAATGAAATTCAGTGGATCGAACTTAATTCCACCTTCTTTTTCAATTTCAACGAACTCACTAACATGAGATTTTAAATATTCTTTCGTTAAAATTGTTTTCCCCGATGTTATGTCATTAACGAAACTATCACCGTCAAAAGTTAACGAATTCAATTTCGTCGTTGATGCTTTTATTTCATACACCGCTTTATCGATAGTTTTTGGCTCACCTTCTTTAGAAGCATATGAAACATTAATGAATGAATTATATGTATTCATGAATGAATTAAAATCAATGATTTTCATTAATGACGCCTTTAATGATTCATTTACTGTCGAATCCCTTAAAGTAATTAATGAACTGTCATTTATGAAAGGTACACTGCAAACCGTCGAGTTTGGATCAAATGCTATAGTTGGTGCAGGAATATTAATGATATAAGTCATTAAATCATTAAGTGACGTAAATAATGTTGTCGTTTTTGATTTAATTTCTTTAGCATCTGTTATATATGGTAATTTTATTTCTGTAGTTTCTGAATTAAAGATATTCGCTAAAATGTTTTGTAAACTGTTTTGAACAGCTGTGTAAACCGTTGAATCCGGAACTCTTACGATTTCACCATCCTTAATAAAAGGCATTGTACATGGCGTAGTGCTTGGGTCAAATCTTTCGGGATTATAATTCAACATATATTCTAACGCTTCATGAACAGACTTATATACTGTTGTGTCGTTCTTCATGACAACTTCACCATTTACAATGAATGGCATAGTGCATGGAGTTAAAATGGGGTCAAACTTTTCATAGTCCTTCCATGTTATGTATTTCTCGGTATTTCCATCACTGATAACAATATATTTGTCAGTAAGTGTGAGAGAGTATTGACCAAAATATAAACGTTTAGCTCTGTCAGCTTCATACGCATATGCAGCTATACTCATATTTTAATGAGAATAAAATGTTGTTCTATTTGCAAAGTACAGACCCAAACGAATACGGGACAGTAAAACTACAAACAAACTTAGGTCTACAGAATGAGCCACTTGCATTCAGAATGGTTGACTTTAATACTATTGCTTCATTCGTTATAACTGACGAAACAGATTTCATGGAGCTTGAAATAGATGGAAAGAAGCACGAAATAAGATTTCACAATAATGTAGAATATAAGATGGAAACATTAGCTGGAGTGTTAAATGCTCTCATAAATACTACAATAAACAAGGATAACGGAGAAAACTTAATGAATGTTAAACTTATTGCAGGAGTTTTGAAGTTCAGTTATGCGAAAGAGTTTAAGATACCAAGAATGAGTCATAGAGTACAACTTCTTTTGGGAGCATACCATATGACATTTCCTTTGAAAAGTGTTGACAAAACGATTGAGATGAAATCTGTTCCATACGTATGTTATGGCAATTGTTTGTACATTGAGTCAAAAATAGCTAATGTCACAGGTATTTCAGGAGTTAATAGTAAAGGTTCAGTAGAATATAAATCCTTCTGTTATGAAGTAAATTCAATGTTCATTCCAAACGTTCCTGTCATAGCAACTCATTTAGGTAAATGGGTTCGCATTAGTCCTCATAATTTGAAAGACATGCAATTCAGACTTGTTGACTTTCAAGGAGAGCCTGTAGAACTGAAGGCACCAGTGCGAATGACTGTTGAAGTTGACTTTTTAGAAAATATTAAATGCAACAGCTTACAAGAGAACTCAGAGCTAAAAATATAAAGTATGAATGTTATGTATTAGGTCATGAACTTTGGTTGTTGCTGTTTGATGAAACAAATGAGTTAGTTATGTCAGTCAAGAGAACAGAAAAATATTGTGTTAGTGAAAACTGCACCAAGTCAATAAGATTAGGTTTGCATTATGAAGATGAGTTCGATACTGTTGAAGAAGTTTTGGATAGATATTACAAATTGCTTTAATTTACTAAAACATATTTCAAACAAAGCTTATAGTAAGTAGATAGTTTTGTATACTCGTTCGAATATTTATACTTAAACTCAACTCCTGGAGTACCTGGTGTTTCAATGATGCGGATGTTACCTATTTTCATGAATATTGGAGTTTGACCACAGCATTCGATTTCAGGGTCGAGATAGTCAATGACACATTGCTTTCCTGTTATTCGTGATATAATATTTTCAAGGTCCTCCTTTGTTAGAATTATTTGGTTCTTACTTATAAGATTTGTCAAAAGCTTCTTATCGTCTTTGAGTAAAATTGTTTGGTATAACTGAAGAAGGTAATGGTCTACGTTATCTGAAGGATTTGTTTGAACATTTGTGTAAGGGTTGTCGTTGGCTTCTCTTGAAAGAACTTGGTCCAGTGGTGGATACTCTAACTTAACATCTGATGTAGCGTTAGCGTTTGAAGTTGTGTTTAAATTCACCGACTTAAGATCTGGTTCTTTTTCTTTCAAACACTCCGAACTATAGTTCTTTATGACAATATTGTTTGTCGTTCGTGAGTCAACATTTGATGTTGGTTCAATTGGAACATTAACGGCACCAGCTAAGATGGATTTGCTTCTCATTTCATATAGAATAAAAACCTTTTATATGTATGAAATGAACATATACTCGACAAGGGTTTGAATGTAAAGCTAACGAATGAAATATTGTTGAATTCACTGAGACAGGAGCTGTGTATAAAGATGTAGAACTACTGAACAAAAGAGCAAAGGGAAGAAGCAGGAATATGAACAAAGGGTGGAAGCCTATAAAAATTTATGTCAATGATGGCTCAGGAGGTTCAAACATAAAGTATGCAGAAAGTTATAGAGTTTATGCTCTCAAAGGTGAAAAGCCTTCATTTAAGAACAGCTATTCTAACGCATATCCTCAAAAGCTAACGGATGGGGAAGTGGATGATATGAATGACAGCAAAAATATTAACAGAAATGGCGACAGAGATGCATGGAATTTGTTTACCATCAGTCAATTAAAGCATAAGATTTAAAAAATGTTGGTCGTTCCCATGGAATATTTTTGACTTTAATGGTATTAGTCATGATATGAATCTCAAGGTATGAACGAGGAGAGATGAGAGACTTATATGCTTCCCAAATTTCTTCAAAAGGTAATGTTATACCTGACTGTTTCCAAATGAGTTCAATATCATAGCGTGAGAAACCTTGAAAGATAACGAAGTCAGTTATGAGACGTTTTATGTTTAAAGCAAGGAAACGCCATGTTTGCATAAGTATTGCTACAGTTAAATGGTAATGTCTGACTTTAGTTATGATGTTAGCTAATGGTGAGTCAGGCTTTGACACTAAACCTTTTCCGGCGAAGTCGTCACAAACGAGCAGAGTGTTTGAAGGATACTTTTTGAAGGGGTATTTTGAAAGTTTTGATAGAATGTAGTTTGTCAGTCGTTTCATATCGTAAACTCCTGAGTACTGACGTAAGTGGTGTTTGTCAATAATTCTTTCCATCTCTTCTGAAGTCTTTTGCATTCCTGACTGTATGAACTCTACAATAGCATAATATTTTCTCTTACGTCGAATGTAACGTTGAAGAAATTCAATGAGTTCGCTATCTGGAACTTTAACGACAGATGCTTGAACTTTACTCATGAATGTTTTCGCTGTTGAATCCATAGAGTCTGAAGTTGCTGATATAATGATTTGGTCATAGTAAGAGTCGTTTCCTAAACGCTCTGTTATGAGTATATGACGAATGAGGTTAAATGTCTTACCTGAACCCATCTTTCCACAATAGAAATACACACCATTTGAACAGAATTCATAATCTTTGCTGAAAGGAAGAATAAGAGAAGAGTTAAGTTTGTCTGTAGTTTCATTCATGTCTTCATCTACGTCATGTATTAAATGCTTTATTCATGTGATTTTATCCCAAGCATATGGGGATTCTAAATTTTTGTCCCTATCGTTATCCCAATTGAATTTTTTTGGAATTTAAAATTTTTTTTCTACATGTAAACTTAAATTTTAATTTTTACCACTAAAATGCAATATTTCAACAAATTAATGAGTAATAATATTTTAATTTATAATAATTATTATAAATCTCCTCAATTTAATGTAATTATTGTATTAATTTTTTGTTGAAAATATAAATCTTCAAGTAAATGATGTGAATTTAATATTTTTAGAATGTTGTTTAATTGTACTATATTATGCATGTAAAATTTTGTTACAATACATTTTATGGGATCCCCATTGCCCAATTGAGAGAAAATTGAGAGGTGGGTTGGGCTAGCCCAATTCAAAATATCCCAGGTGGAAATAAAAAAATTAACAATTCAACATAAAAAAGCATCTTAAATAATAATGATAAAAAAAATTTTGTATGAATTTCAATCAAATTTGTTTTTATTCAACTTAAGAAATCACTTCATTAATGAAAGAAGTCGGGGTTCACAACATATCCGATCTTGAAACGAAACAACATGTTTACATGCGATATAAACATGAAGGTAGTCCCAAGTGGTATGTAAAATGCAATGAACTTGTGACACGACTGATGGCGTAGTTTGCCGGTGTTCAATACAAGAACAAAAGGGAGGATCATTATAAAAACTGGCTTAAGACTCATGTTCACACATGTCAGGCCGGAGAAGCATTATCGCAGCAAAACATTACTTGACTACTACAATAAAGGTAAACAGTCAAATGATCCAATGTTGGATTTATCGAATGTATACGATGAAATGACCATTTTTACCGGTAATTCAACCTTGCCTTAGACACATTTGCATCCCCAGAATTCACGCATGTTGCAAAGATTTCATTATGTTCACAATATATCAAATGATGAACAAATACAAACAACTTCAGTCAGCTAATATCAATCCGGAAAACTTGCTGACAAATTATATAAGCCTATTACACGTGATGAGATCCGAAATAGAATGATTGCTATTGCTAACAGCATACACCTTGCTAAAGTTCTCGAATTCGCCAAAAAAGCATACACTTGTGTCGCCATCGATGAAGGCAAGACACATGATTTACCACAATCTTGATTTTGTCTTAACAAATCCGTTGGAGCAAATGAATCCATACCCAGTAGAGGCGATAGATATGAAGGATGGCCAGACAAGTCAGGATTATAAATCCGCAATAACAGCAGGATTTAACAGAATTGACATTAGGAAAGTCAAGATAGGTAGTGTGGTAGTTGACGGAGGACCAGCACAGTT